CGGGCTGGGTGTGCGGATGCAGGATGTAGGATGCAGGACGCCTTAGGGACATCATAAGCAGCCAAAGGATTCGGATTTCGGATTCGACGAGAGTGCAAATCGTGTCGGGCAGCAGCCAAAGTGAAAAGTGCAGCGCCCTGCAAAGAGCATTCTACGGGGGTTTCCCCCTTCGTGATGTTCAAATGCGTTTTCCGATGCCCTCAATATTCGGGATTTCCAAGCGACTGAATGCCCTTCCATCAGTTTTCCTGGGACATAAGGTTGCCCGAATGGATTTGAATCTGTGAAAAGGGAATTGATTGGTTTTTATTTGGCTTTTGATTTTAGATAATGCAGTTTCTGTAGTTACCAGGATTGGCAATTTCAATCTTAGTTAATCGACTCCTTAACAGAGTGCCAGGAAAATCAGGAAAACCAGGAAAAAGAAGGGCAATGCCATGGGCAACCTACAGAAACACCAGCTCCAGTACCACCGAGCCAGTGTACCAGCAAGAGCACCCATATTAACACACACGTAGAGAGATTGCTTTCGGAGTTTATTGAGCCTGACATTCAAGGCGGAAGGGGGGAGGTTTTGGGCCAGTTCATTTCATTGGCATTATGATTGGAAGCTGTCGTCGTTTGCCTCAAATTGTGCAAGTTATGTGGATGTGGTGGCTGTGGTTCAGTGCCCATTGGATGAGGCTGCATTCGAGGATATCCGAAAATTTCGCACAAACGGAAATGACAAAAAACGTACGTTTGAAGGGGGCGGGAGAGGAGGAGGGGAGGGGCGGTCCCTGGTTTAGTCCAGCACTCAATGCTGAACGCAGGTCAACGAGGGTTATAGATGGTTAAGAGGGGTTTTTGGTGGGGGTTTGCGGGGGCTTTAGGGGTTTTACACAGAGAGAAGCGATACAGAGAGACACTGGCAAAAAGTGCTGGAGTGCTGAAGAGCTGGAGAGCTGGAGAGCTGAAGAGCTGGAGAGCCAGACGACACATTTGCCACATCAGCAAATGATGTGAAAATGTCATTTCCAGGCGCAACTGCCAAAGGTAATGGCCAAAAATGGGACAAGGGGTCCTGAATCCCGAATCCCGTATCACATATACCAGTTCTCAGTTCCGAGATCCCAGTTGCCCACACACATGGCACTAAATTTGTGGCAAGCGAGCGCAAAAAAGGTCCACAAACTGCGAAACTAATGATGGGTAAAGAGGGTTCAAAGGCGGGGCTTATCAAATTGCGCATACACGGATGTCGCACAGCTTCATCAGGACGATGAATGCGATGATGTGCCCATCCCCCGACTCTCAGACCAGTCTTCCATTCCATTCCATTTCATTCCACTGAATGGCAGCAAATCAAATTTAATTGAAGCACACAAAAATCTGTTGCCTACTTTTGCGGGCAATGGAACAATTGCGTGACTTCCTGCTCTCCCCTTCACCTCCTTCCGTGTGCCACGGCACGCCCCTTCTGGCCACTAGCAATTGACAGAAACGTTACTAATTTGGTTAAATGTTTGATTGAAGTTTGGCCAACTGCTCTGGCCGATACGTTTAATTATATCCGTCTGCGTGTTCGGGACCTTAGTTAGGATACCACATTAATGGCTGTGTGCTAGGGCTCTTGACTCGACATTCTCATTCTCATACACAGTGTGTTATGTAATGTTTTTGGCATTTCTGAAAGTGTTTTGGTTAAAGCTAGATGTATATAAATATTTAAGACCTTTCATGATAAGGGAAGATTACTATCGTATAGAAAAGGCCTCCTTCCATTAGTGAGTGCCTTGCGATTGATCTCCTTCTGGTAGTGCTTCTCAATCGCCTAATTTTTCCGTTTCTTCAATCTCTGCAACTTCTTAGAGACCATAAACTTGTAGAACTTCTTTATGCTTATCCTTAACCAGACGATCTTAAAGCTGCCTTACAGTTTCGGGGCATTTCCATCCTGGCGTGGCATCCTCCATTTCTAACTCGCCGGACAACTTTTCTACCTTAGGGCTTTTGGGTCTGGCCAAAGGCATATAATGATAGTTCTTTGAAGAAGGATGCGCCAGGAATATTCGAAGCGGAAGTGGGTGCTTTGACTTACTGAAGGCTGCGATCATTTGAAAGGACACAATGTCACCCTTGCGTATGCTGAGGATTGGCGAGTGAAAATCCTGTGCTGCGGCAGGGTCAACGGTCTTGAAGACAGTAGCTGGACATATTCCCAGCTTAATTAGTAAACTTTATTCGTTTTCCATAGTCTGGTAATTATAATAAATATAATTAAAACACCAAATTTATTTAAAAGACTTAATCAGTTTGAAATAGGTGTAGCCATTGGTGTCTTTTGCTACCATTTCGTTCTTGCCTTTCCGTATTTCCGTTTACTCTCAGCCTGCCTATCGACTTTTTCCCGCATTCGCTTGCTTTATTTCCACCCAAGAACTCGTCTCTGTTTTTCGCCAGCTCTCGGTTCAGTTGAGTCCAGTCCATTGACCTGGCATTGTGTGGATTTGGACTTGGACTTGGTCTGGTCTTGGGTTTTCCTTGCCTCCTCGATGTTGCTTTCCCACAATTAATTTGGCGATTTACTTAATATCCCTCCAAGTCCCTCGACCCAATTAGGGGTGTGCCTTTGTTCTAATTTCTATTCTATTTTCGATTTTGATTGATGCATTCGGTACGAGGACGTGAGTGGCTTGGCTCGGCTGAAGTAATCCGCATTACTCATACGAGATTTCACTTAATCAAACTTCAAGTTGCGTTTTCATCAGCATTTTCCGGCCTTTTACTGGTTTTCCCTTTGGGCCGTTTCATTTGCATTCTTCACAGTGTGTTTTTTTTTTCGTGTTGGCAAAGCAACAAATGATGCGTAAGAAATGCTTTAATAAACAGGAACCGGTTTGTTTTTTTGCCGTCTTTGGCTGGGGGGAAGATGGTAGTTTGCTTTCCGGGCCATTTGGCTGGAAGGTCTTTAAGTTGGGTCGCAGCATATATGGCCTGTTGGTGGGGCTCGGCGGTGTAGTTTTCCGGGGGGCCGCACATCTATTCCGTTTGTTTAAGGGCTAATAAATATTTTAGCCGGGGTGGTGCAGAAAAATATGTTTGCAGCAGTTGGAAACAAACGAGCGAGCAAACGAGTTGAGTAAATCAAGCCGCACTTCCGCTTCAAGCTGGGGCGAGCCCCATGGTCCCATGGTGGAAAAAAGGAGCCCCTGAAAAACCCCCTCAAAGGCACCATCCACATCCTCATACAACGCTCCAAAAAAAAAACCCCCTTTCCTGCCCTTGCCCGTCTGTTCGTCTGCTGTCTGCTTTCTAACTGAATGAAAGCCTTGGCGCGTTGACTGATTTCGAATGGATTTTCCACGCTTTGCATGTGTGTGTGTGTGTTTCAGTGTTTCAGTGTTCCAGTGTGTGTGTGTGTGTGTGTGTGTGTTAGTGTGTGAGGCACAAAATCCCGTAGGTGCAAAATAGCGCACTCCAGGCAACGAAGCATGTGCACATTTGTGTTTTTTCTTTCGTTTCCATCCTTTCTGCCGACGCTGTGTCGGTCCTCTGCTCCTTTTTGTGTTTCATTTGTTTTGTTTCATTTTTCACTGCGAACAACAAAGCAAAGGGTAGCAGGGGTATGTTGGCCTTATCCTTGATAAAGAAGCTCTTAAATGAACATTTCGACCGAAAACCATAAAAGCGAGCTGATTTAACTCTGTAATTTACGTATTAAATTGATGCTGCAAATACTGAGAGAAGTGTTTGAAAGGCATGGAATATCACAGTTCTTAATGCGTAGTTTTTTGCTATGGTTTCAATATTAAAGATTTCACGCGAGATTGCAGGGTACCCTGGAAGGCGAGTGGCCCGTACTCGCACTCCTTTTTTGGCCTGGTCCTCGGCTGAGGTTTCATTGTGCCCATTGTTGTTGCTGTTGTTTAAGAAACAAGCGGCAGAAGACGAGGCAGAAGAAAGCAGAGAAAGCGGAGAAAGAGGAGAAAGGGGTTAAGGAAGGCGGCACAGAAGAAGGGGCAAAATTGTGCGGCAAAATAAAATAAACAAACGCTTGGACGGACGCACTTCTGGGATTGGTTTGGAGTGGAGTGGGCTGGCTCTTCTCGGGCTCCTTTGTTTTCTCCACTTCTTTTTTTTTTGTATTTTTTTTTAGCGATGTGCTTAAGCGGAAAACAAAATTTTGCTACTGGTGTTGCAGGTTGCAGATTGCGAATTGCAGATTGCATGTTGCATGTTGCATGTTGCTAGTTGTGGCGGTTGCAACTGACATCCGGGGGACTTATTGAGGTGTTAAGCCAAAATCATTTTTTAAATTGAATCTTATGGAGGAACAAAGAGGCGAGGGGACGAGATAAAGGAGGATATTGCCCAGACATGAGTAAATTTAGCGACCACTCTGTTGGCCAATGCGGCGTATACGTGATATTGCGTATACTTCATATTGCTGCACACAAAAGAAACGTGATAATCATGTACTCACTTGAAGATAAAGGATAGAGAGAGAGAGAGAGAGAGAGAGGGGTAAATAAACATACAACCAAGACGGGCATAAGCTGATTGCTTTAGCTTGCAATTTACTCGTCCCCAGATGGAGTCTATATACATATGTCCATATATATATACATACGGCGGTCAGAAGACTTGATTCCTGATCATATATCAAAGCTGACCAAGAGCGGAAGTCCCAACAACAGCTGCCTGTGTCTGTGTGCTGGTGTCCTGTTGATTTCCTGTCTTGCCAGCTGTTGAAGTGCGTGTGTCTGTGTGTATATGTGTGTGTGTGTGTGTGTTGTATATGGGTTCCTGTTCCTGAGAGCTGAATAATGTCCCCCAACTGACTATTTCCCAGTGCAGGGCGAGAAATTTCTACGATCTGCATAAATATTTCATCATTAATTACAGTTTAAAATGATTAAATAATGCATGTAAATTACAAAATATTATAAATTAAAATTAACTTAAATAAGTTCTCTTACTATGAGTTTTCGTTCAGTGCATTGACCCCCCTGTTTGATGTCCTATTCCTGTTTTTTGTCATTCGCTTAGCCCCAGCAAATTAGCATTCAGCTAACATGTGTTTCTCTGTCAGCCTGGAAGAGCCCACCATTCCACCCCACCCCGATGCTTTCCCACATTTCCCAGTTAAGTGTGTCACATTAAATGATACGCAACACTTGACACCGAAATGAACGAAAGAAGAAAACTAGAGGCGACAGCCAAGGAAGCAGAGGAAAACAGGGGAAGGGAAAAAGTACATGGAAATGACGCTATTCCGTACTTTATTAATGAGCTGTTTTGGGGGAAAATCAATAGGGGAAATTGCTAAAACGAATTTAAATCACAGAGCCAAAGCTGCAATGAGGGAAAGCTGTGGATGTAATAAGGCAACATGAGATTCGACTGCGACTTTAAATGTGAGGTTCTTTCCCAAGGCATATACTCGTACATATGCAAATCAAGGGCCACAAAACGGAAGTTGATTTCAAGTTGCTTTGGCCCGAGGGAAAGACAAAGGTTTTGCGGAAGAGCCAAACATGAGAAAAAAGGGGAAAAAACGGAAAAGCGCCGGGGAAAAACAAATAGGAGTTGACTCAAGACAAACAAACAAGCAGAGGGCAAGTCAAGAGGTGACAGGAAACAGGAGAACAGGAGGCGGAACGTGCTCAAGTTCGGGCGACACAGTCGAGGTGGTCAAGTAGGCCCTACCAAATCCGTTCTCCCCCCCCACCCAGTCCGAGTCAACCCGTCAAGCAGAGACATTCGATTTCCAAATACCCCCTCCCGAAATCACGCCAAAATTCCAAGTTTAAACTGTGAGCGACGGATCGAAGAAGATATTTGTTTTGCCAAAATACTAAAATGATGAACAAGTCCAAGCAGCGATCGCCGACAAAAGCGGTGAAGAAAGCCACCAAATCTCTGCCGCAGGCCAAGGTGAAAACTTCCAGCAAGGTCAGGCCGAAGGTTCTGCGGAAATCCCCAAAAAAGAATCCGCTTAAGAAAACCGTGAGGCGTTCTCCACTGATGCGTGCTGCCCTGAAGCCCACAGTCTTGGGCTCCGCTAAGGCAAAGCCGATGGTCAAGTCGCGTGGGAACTTTAAGAAGTCCCATCGTCAGCCGATTGATGCCTTGCAATCCCTGGGAATGTCCCGCAGGACAAAGTTGATAGATGCCAGTCCACAGAAGAAGGCTGCCGGTACTCCGGTGCTGTTTCTGCTCAAGGACTCGAAGGGCCAGAAGAAGAAGGTCGCCCCGGGAACCGGAAACAGAAAGCCACATTCGGCCCGGATGAATCCAAGGCATATGACCAAAACGAAGTCGAAGGCTACCGAGGGTGTGGATTTCTTTTATAACATGGGCATGAGGATGCAGCAGCCGGAAAAGATGAAGGATCAAAATATGCGTCAACGAGTTGGAGCAGGATTCGAGGGAAGATTGGCAGGCGGCGGAGGAACTAAATTCGGTGGCGCTAATGTGCAAGGATCAAGAGCGAGACCCAGTCCTCCTGGTCTATCATCCATAGCCGGCGGTATAACTGGCATTTGCTCAAAGGACGTGGAGGTGCCGCTGACCAATCGACTGCCAATCATTGACTTTATCTCCACCAACGAGTTCCAAAATATGTATGCGGCAACGATGCGGAAGCCGCAGTCCCGGAAGCTCTTCCATTGATTGGCGATCGACGATCGGCGATCGGCGAGTGAAAAATATTAAGTTAATATTGACAAATGGAAGTGATTACATGGCCCAAGGGTTTTGCGACTCTACATTTAGTTATTTTCAAGTTATTGTTTTCACAACGAGATGATACAACAAATTTAAGTAACAAGTAACGAGTAACGAGTAACGAATAACGAGTAACGAGTGCCCATGACCACGATTTATTGTTGCATTTAAAGAAAATTACAGTTCGCCTGACGGCTGTTTTCAGAGAAGAGTAACCAGTAATGTGTTTAACGAGTTCCCTGAGCAGACACTAGGAAATGTGCTTACCTATGAGAAAAGTAACCAGAAGGAAGGACAAATAATCAAAAATCATTAAATCCAAATTCCTAATAAACCTAACCACAAACACAGAACTTGAGTCAATGGCTTGGACTAGAAATGTGATCGTGGAACGGCGACTCTTATGGAAAACATCCGACATGGGTAATGGATTCAGTAATCAACGAGTGTGGCAATTCTGAACAAAAAACTTCTTTGCCCAACTTTCGAGCGAACGCGAAACATTTTCATTTCGGTTGGTTTATTTGGACATACCAGAAATACATATTCCCAAATGAAATTGTTGGACAAGATGGAATGGGATTGGGAATGGGTTTTGGGAGTTGGGAGTTGGGAGTTGGGATTGGGGGATTGCTTCTTGGGTTTTCGGTTGGATTTCGGGTTTGGCTTCCGCGAGGTCGGCGGGCAGTAAGCGAACTTTTGCGCAAATTATCTGCGTCGCGTTTATTTCGCGCAAACAAATCGCAAAACTTTTGCAGACGGCGACCCAGCGACTTGGCCTCCTTGCTCTCCCTTTCCTTCTCCCACTCCTGCTCCTTCCTTTCGACCCCTTGGCTCCTCCCAATCTCATCATCGTCCTGGTGCAGTTGTAAAAGTTTTGCCGGCACAAAAGTTTCGGGGGCCAGAAATCCTTGCTCCCGGCATCGGTTTTTTCGGGGGCATCTTGCAGCAATTTACGGGAAGAAACTTGAGAAACGAATGGAAGATGGAAACCAGGCAATTGATGCAGCACACCAGGCGGTTGAATGGGGTGAAAGGTCAGGGGAGGGGAACTTCCCGGTGGCAATGTTGTTGTTGCAACGAGAGTTTTTCGGCTTGTTTTCATTTTCGCCGCCGGAGAATTTGCATTTTGCCCAGAAGACCAAGACGACGACTGCGGCTTTTAACCGCAAACCGAACGGAAATTGAGATTCATTTAATTCATTGTGCGCCGAGCTGGATTTTTGGGGTGGCAAAGGGTTAAGCATTGTATTACACTGCGGAAAATTAGGTATTAATAGTGGGAAATTCATTAGGAATAATAGTGGGAATGCTCATTTATTAAGATTAATGCTTCTAGACGTCAGCTATATTTTCTTCTCATTTCCAACGAAATGAAAAAGTTTTTACTGTTACTCGTCGATGCTACTCGTTACTCTACACTCAAAGCTACTAGTTACTTTCCTTACCCTTATATTATATATTAAATTTCTTATTAAAATCAGAACTTTATCAAAGAATATCTCGCTGTGTATGGGAAAACTTCGTTGACAGGCATAATCAGCAGGAACAGGAGAAAAAGGGGGCTTACAAAGGAGGAGCAGCAGGAAGAGCTCTGGAGGATCTGCAACCACAACGACCGACAACATTTAAATGACTGCAGCGACGTCAACGGCAACGCCTTTGCTAATATTTATGCCCCGGGCTTTATAATCGTGGCCAGACCGTGATTCAGGCGGGGATTGGGCGGGCTTTCAGTAGGGAATGGAGGTTGGTGGTGGATGAGGAAAGAAGTAGGAGAAGAGGGAGGGCTAGTGTCCGCCCGAAAGAACATGGCTGAAAGCGCACTTTTGGCCAGTCGAAAAAATCCTTGATTGCATTCAAGTTGAAGAGCAAGAGAGGGGGGGTGCACTGAAATGGGGGGCAGAAAGAAGAGCGGAGCCATCGAAGATGCCAATTGGAATGGAGACTCTTTGTGCGGCTAAGTGCGCCTGAATTGGCTTGGGTGAGAATGGGATTAGATAGGGTCCCCTTGAGACGGGGTTGCGTACATTTCGAGGGGTGAGTAGGGGTTAAGTAAGCCAAGATGCCGATAGACGATAGACGATAGGCGATAGATATGAAGCTTAATTATATCGGAGAACCATTAGGTTAACTAAGTTTAGGAGGATTTCTTGATTTATCTTCAAGAAAGTGAGCTTAGAGCGGATGTGTTTCTGATGATAAACGGATTTTAGGTTAAACTATAAACTATTTTACGTAATATTAAAGTTATAGATTATATTTTGTATTTATCATTTTTATGAGTGAAGCTTTTTTATCTCAGATTCTACACTTTCTTCCCATAATCTCTAAGAAGCAAGAAAAGAATAAAAAGTTAATATTTACTTAGGGCTAGTTACAGTCTGTTAGCATTTACCTAACTAGGTTCTGGACTTTTCCGATTGTTTGTTCCCCGGGGTCTCGTTATTCCTACTTTTCCCTGGCCAGTGCAGAGACCTGCGAGTGTCATCTCTCTTCGCATTTAAATTGTGTGTGGCGAGCAAATTTGGTTTTCGCACGATTTCCTTTCGGATTTCGCATAAATTAATCATTGGCTTGCTCCAAATTTGTGCGGTCAAAGTGGGAGACTCAATGGGGCAGTGGCTTGGGTCCCCGTTTGTTGGATGGTGTCATCTTGGATTTTACTGGCTTTATGGGGCATGAAATGGGTGGGTGGTGCAGGGATGCAAGGAGTAACCGACATGCTTAGAGTTAAACGCACAAATGCAAGTTGGTTGTTTGAATGGGCCAAAAGCAATTGATAAACCAATTATGCAGGATGCAAGTGACACTCGACGGCATTCAGGGCATGTGTGTCTCTGCCTCTCTCACTCTCTCACTCTCGATTGTAGGCCTCTCTTTCTTACCGTCTATCTCCGTCTCTCTCTCAGTCCCAGTTCCCATTTCGACCTGCTTATTGAACGCAATTACCTGACACAGTTCTGTAGTTTACGCAAAAACGATGTCAATGCACGGGTCAAAGTTCAGTTGCACAAAACAGAGACAGAGACAGCGGCAGAGATAGAGATATAAAGCGAAAGGGATGGAGGTAAATTGTGGGGGTGTGCTTAACTTTCCTTTTCAGGACTTTGTTAATTAGGCAAGCCCCTGTCCCCGATCCCGAAAAGCTGATTTCCCACAGTGGAGGCCATCCAACCAATTGACCCAGTAATCCGAGCCAGATAAACTTTGTCGAACAAAAAAAAAACCGAACAGAATACTCGCAACAAAAGTGCAATATTAAAAAACAAAGCCCTCTCCGCCGACAAGTGCAGAAATCGAAAAGCAATGCCAACAAGTTGCAAACTGAAACCGAAATCGCCTCTTAGACAAAAACAACGGAAACTCTTTCCCCGCACAGAGGGTGACCGCCCGAGAAGTATTAGACGAGGCGATACTCAGTGGTCTATGGTCATTATAAAATTAATAATTTAAGCTACTACTTATAAAATAAGAAAACATAACTCAAGGCACTTGAAAAGTTTACTAAAGAATAAACAATTTTTCTTATTTTCGATTCGATCAAAATAACTTTGAACTTTTGCCATTCAATATTTTCCCAGCGAACTTAGTTTCAGTGAATTTCCCTGCGATAGAAGCGCAATTGAAGGCAATTTTCCTCAGTCATAATTGCCGGAAAATTATTTTAATATGCCTTAAGGCAGGGATTCATACAGCCCCTTAGGGTTTTCTGAGAAGGTTGCCATTCATTAATGATGAAACGCCCTGAGGAGCGACTCTCAAGGAGCGCGGCTACAGGGTAGACAAGTACGGAAAGAGGACACCAGTCCGTGGTGACCTCGACCCGGCTATAACTTGTATTTGGTGGCCCATTGTTTTTCCGATTTTTCTCCCTTTTTATCGTGATTTTTTCGATGGGCATTGGGCATTGGGCATTGGGCAATGGGCAATGGGAAGATCCGCGCTTACTGGCTTGACCATTGGGCAGCCAGTTATCGCAATCGCAATTGCTATCCATTTCATTTACCGCAGGACAAATTTTTATTGCTGACCCAAGCAGCAAGGACGACGGCATTGTTTCAATATATAAAATTGCCGGAAAAGTTGCTGCAATTGTCCTCATTTTCTTTCAGTTAAGGACAATTTTATTTGTGTGGGGGACAATAAATGTTGTGCAACATTTTACATAAATAACAAGGACATGGACAGGACAACCCCATCCCGCATCCCCCCATCCCATCCCTCCGTCTGATGTCCGTTTTGACAGTCGTCAAGTGCATTGTGCACTTTGCCAAAAACAATTTTGCATTTCCAGGACTCAGTGCTCACAGCTCAGTACTGGGTATTCAGCAGCGCCAGTCAAGGACACTCGAGTGAATGTTTTCTGAATGAACGAGTGGGTGTTCACTGTTCATACATATTCATACGCAGCCTGTACACGTGTGCGTTCGAGTGGGCGTGTAACCACAAGTCAAAAGCCTGTTTAATTATGTTGACAATATGCAAATACCGGGCTCTGGACGGACGGCAAAAATAATTGCATTTCGGCTTGCGGTCCGCACTTCATTTTTATATTCTGCGATTAGGAATTTCGCAGTTTGTGTTGGCTTAATGAACGGCAAGTGCGGTCTCCTCTGATAAGAGCCTCTTATGCAATTTCGTTCTTCAAATCTTGACAATCCTGATCCTTGACTTGTGGTTAAGGCCAGTTTTAAACGTTTTCTAAGTGCATTTCCATTTTCCTTGCCATTTTTGTCAGGCTTTGAATTCCAGTTTGAGCTCTTCGGGCCATAAATAATGCAAGTATGTAAAATTGTGATTTTGCAGTTGGGAAATCAATAATTTAAAACGTTCTATGGGACAAGCATTTGTTACTTTTTTGGTGCCACATTTTCTCTATCAAACAGGAAAATAGAAAATTTTTTAAATTTATTTACTAACCATATTTGCCTTATGAGATATATTTATAATTTAAGCTTTATTACTAAGATTGTTATAATTTTAACATGCAATTTTCTATCATTGCCTTTTCGAATTTTATAAATATGTACAGCAAAATGTTAAAAACTCCTTCGATGGAATCTAAAATATAATATTATATTTTAAATATTATATTTCATATGTTTGTAGCTGCTTAATTATTGTTAAAAAAGACTTATCCAAGCTTGACTGTACTTAAATACCGCAATTGATTGTACAATTTTCACATCATTGATTTAATTTGTGCTTTGTTACCGTCTCCTCTGCTTAATTACGCAGAATAATTTGATTTTACAGCAGAATTCCATCGACGTGCTGCACTTTTGCTTTGTGATTTTTGCTTTGCTAAGGTAGTTTGTTTGATTGATAAACTTTAATTTATTTTTAAGCCTTTGATTTTAAGCTCAAGCTTAATGTTAGTTATTGTTCAAAAGTAATATGATTATATGTACTGAGGATTTTATTTACTGTTAATACAGTCATGTTAATGTTCTTTTAGTTTATATGTATGTACATGGTTTGGGGCAGGGTTGCTCAAATTCGTCTTACGGCAGAGCATTTACAAATACAAACACAAGAAAGCGTGCACGTATTTAG